TGCTGAGTTTGGGGAGGAAGAATGGGATAGGATGAAGCGGTACCTGATTGGGCCTTCGGGGGTCGACCCTCGATTTGGTTAGAAGCCCGACCCAGAGCACCACTACCAGCCTACACACCACTCGATGTCAGGGGGTTCATCCTTGATTCTCGCCTGACTCAGGCGAGGGTAGTCGAACAGTTCTGACTTCCCAGGGACAAGGAGTTCTTGAGGGGGGTTCCCAATGTCGGTCTCCACCAAAGCCTTCGGAGCTACTTGGTTCAGAGGGCGCTAGTGGATCAAGAGATATTCGACCGGATGGAGCAGATCCAAACTTCGTATCTCAAGCTCTTAGAGGAGGTAGCTTCCCTAAAGGCCGGCAGAGGGGCTGACTCGGAATGGGCTGCAAGGCCGCCAGCTCCAAGCGCTTCTGAGATCGAAAGGCTCAAGCAAGAGCTTGATGAGAGTAGCAGAAAGGCTAGGAGACTAGATGAGGCTCTCGAAGAAAGGGACCGTGCTAAGGTACATGTCGAATCCGAAAAGTAAATGGCGGTGCATGCGAAGCGTTAGCTGGATGAGGAGCATGCAGCGTTCGTCAAGTTTCAAGGGGAGATCGCCCGGCTACAGGAGTCCTTGGCAGTGGCCCAAAGTCGCAGCGCCTACCTCGAGTCTGAACCTTACAACGAGGGGATCATAAAGGAGTACTGCCAATGCCTTACTGGAAAAATGAAGGTGGCGATAGGCTGTAAGGTTGGGTACGACTACCTCACGGCACAGCTTCCAGCCGAGATGAGGAACTCACTCGGTCGCTTCCACCACCCTCCCATCATAGCCAAGTGTCTGGATGAGTTGGTGGAGGTGAAAGCACTTGTGGGGGGACTCGATCTTGGCTAGGAAGATGGGGAATCGGATGATGAAGCTCCTAGGGCTCTAGGCAAGAATACCGAGGAAGGAGGTAACTGCTCGACTCCTCCGCCCACTGCTACTAGCGGCTCCTTGCCTTTAACCCCGAGAGCGGGAATGGACCTCTCTTAGTCTCCTAGAAATTTCCTGTCTTCAGCTTTTGCGTTGTATATGTACATATGTACTTTGTAGATACTCCTTATAAATGAATAAAGAGATATTTTTAAGCCTGAATTACTTTTCTTGTGCTGTATAATCTTATTTTGGATCTCCTGGGTGAATTAGCTCAACCATAAGCTTGTGAATTTGACTGCTGACTCGAGGGGACTCGTTTCTTTGTTGAGAAAATATATCTCGAACTCGAGTAGTTGTCGTTCCTGTTGTTTGTTTTTTTCTTGGTTTGGAGCCAATCGAGTCGACGACCCTTGCTAATTGGCGTTTGAACCATTTGGAGCAAGTGCCTTAGAGGTACGAGTCAGCTTTACGGAGGGTGGGCCATCTTAATGGATAGTATTGTTTCTTTTAAGCACGTTCGTTGTTGACTCTGTAGGGTCGACTAGGTCTGGCCGACTATTTATCGAATAGTCGTTGTTTGGTGAGTTTCCAGATGCTTTTATTGGGCAGGTGAAACGTTACTATTTGAAACGATGTGATGATGTTATCAGAAGTCAGAAAGTTATTGTTGCTTTGATTTTCAAGCCAAGAGGTGTAGAGTAAAGAGGACAACGTTTTGAGTTTTGTGCGAGCCGTTGGGATTTCTAGGTGTATCTCGCCCGTTCATTTTGAATCGGGTCGGTTGTCCAGATTATTCCACGTGTCTCCCTCAGTTGCTATATATAGTCCACTGGTGGCGAAGAGGGGTCATCTTCACAAACTTTTGCTCTAGATTTTTGGCGCTTGACTCTCAGATTTCCCCAATTTCCTTACAAACTCTTAACCATCTTCCATGGCTGCTCAAACCTCCACCGTCGATCGCAATGAGGAGAGAATCAATCTTCTCCAGCTAATCCGCTTGAAGATCTGCACCCAACAGTTCGAAATGTACTACAAGCTTTACGACCTCCCCAAAGCCTTCACGCTCTCAGCGCCAAGTGGGATGAGCCGATGTATCGTCATGGCCAGAATAAGTCGCCGTTGTACATCGGCCACCTTGAGTATGGACTCCGGCTACCACTCCATCCCTTCATTACGGATGCATGTGTTGCTCTGGGGGTATCCCCCTCTCAGTTCATCCCAAACGCGATTGGGGTTTTGGTGAGTTTTGTGGTGATTTGCCATCGGGTAAGTGTCTCGCCGAGCATGCGCCTATTGAGGAACCTAATCGGTGTCAAGATAATGAGGAAGGACACCCATTACTTCCTCCAATACACAGGGGGTTGTAAGTTGGTGTCGGACACTCCAGAGTCAAACAGAGACTAGAAGGGAGCGCGCTTCATGTGGTTCTCAGGGGTCAACCGGACTCCTATCCTCCCCCAACTAGCCTGAGATTAATAAGGACGTGTTGAAGCAGTGCGTCCTAACCGCTGAAGAGAGGCGGCAGCTGGAGAAGATCCGCTCTTATTTCTGGTCTCGGGAGAGAGGAAACCTCTTCGAGGTGACATCTCTTCGAGTGGCGAGCAAATGAATGATCTCCCCTACCGAGGCCGACAAGGTTCGAGCAAGCCTGCTTGCTCTCCCCTTAGAAAAAAACCCTTGGAGGAATTCAGGGGGGGAGGAGTTGGGCTCGTCCATGAGGCCCCAGAAGAGGTTGAGGGGTCATCTGGACCCCAAGGAAGTGGGCAGCCTAAGGCCGCATGTGGTGGAGATTGCCGCCAGACTGACCAGGTCACGTGCTATAGCCAAGAAAGAAAGAAAGGAGAAGAAGAGAAGGTTGATCGGGGGCCAAGAACCCAGCGGGTCTGTTGGGGCGACCCAGGTCGATTCGACAAAAGAGCAGCAGCCTGCTGACCCTGCTTGCTAGCAGGCCGAGGTCGTTGTCATCGACGACACTTCCACACTAGGCCAACGGGGGCGGTCCAAGCGTTGAGGCTGCTGCAATGCTGGGGCTCCTACTGAGGAGGCAACCGGCCAGAGCCATCCCGCAGGCCGGGCAAGGGAGCCGTGCCGGGGATTTTGCGGAGGTGCCGAAGAGCAAGCAAGCCCGCCCCCTCCAGAATTCTTGGCGGGCGAGGCCGGCAAAGAGCAAAGGGACAACTTTTACTGGCCTTTCCACCATTAGGTTTCGAAGCTTTACCACCAAGTCTGGGAGAATTCCAAGGCCATGCTGGCGGGAGTGTCGTCATGCCCCTGTTTGCCCAAGAGGGAATTACCAAAGAGTGACAGGTTCATCACGGAGGCGCCTCTCGACAGAGAGAGTGGTCTTAAGGTCAACAACAGCCCAAGTCCGAGCTATCCAACAGTTCGCCCTCCCGAGATGCTAAGCGTCAGCTTGCACTTGGCCATCAAAGGCTACTTGGTTCGGAGGGCGTTGCTGGAGGCAGAGCTATTTAGCCGACTTTCTTACATGTACAACTCCCCTCCTGAGTTGGAGGCAAACTTTGCTAAAGTGGAAGAGAGAAAGATTGTATCTTTACAACTCTAAATGTCCAGGAATCCTCTACATCCATGCTTATAGAGGAACTCGACAATCCATCAATAACATCTATTTACTCAATGGACCTCATGAATTATATTCTTTATCTAAATTATATTAAAAAATATTATTGACTTACTAAAACAAACTATTAGCATTAACCCACATAATCAATTATAGATATTCTCTTCAGCCTCATTCTCTACAGCTGAGGCTGTAGAGAATCTAGACTCACTATGAACTACATGGATAGTAAGTTTGAAACACTGATCAATACTAAAGTTAGTCCATATGCAATCGACCTAATTTTTACACACACTTGATCAGTTGATCCTCCATCGCCGGATATGTGGTTAATTGCCGGATATGT